GAAGCCAGTGCTCCGGCATTTGTGTTTTCCCATCCAAGATCAACAGCTCTGCGCGGCCAGGTCTTTAAAGCAGCAATATCCCACATCCCTGCCTCTCCTTCCACAGAGTGCTCTGCTATAACACAGCGAACCCCTGGAGACCCTTACTTTTTGATCTTCTTTGCATTGCGGAATAAGGCAGCCCATTCAGACGAGCTCCCTGGCTAAAAAGCAGAAATTACCGGCAAACACCTACTCTCCATTCAGGATTGCCGGAACTCAGAGACGCTGTGAATGGCCTCCCCTGAATTAATCAGTTTAGAGGTTATTTAATCCACTGGAGACCATTTTTCTTGCCCTTAAACTGGAAATGTGCGTGTCTGTTGCAGTCCTTCATGAGCAGCATTCCCCCAGACAGCTGCAATAAAAGTAGCCCCCCCTCCTCACACACACACTCCCCCCCTCCTCCATTATGAATTACAGCTCTGACAGATGTGTCTTAGCCCTGCGCAGCCGGTAAAGCTTCTCTGCTCTCCGAGGCTCGGGGACTGTCAGATTTTACCCCTGTGGTCTGCTGCCTTCAATGTCAATGGTAATAGATAAGGAGGGGATTAACCATCGGTACAATGGATCTGACTGGGAAAGAATAATTAGCTTGAGCTAATGTCATTTAATTGTTTATTAATTAAGCAAATGCTGTTTTTTCCTAAATCCCCGTATGACTTTCCTAGGGCTCTGACGAACGAACAACAACAACAACAACAAAAAAAAAAAAACTACTTGCTCTCAGAAACTTTTCGTCGTCTTCTGTTTGTTTGGTATCGCTCAAGAGGAATAACAGTAGGGCTGTGGAGGACAGGGGACGTGTTTGTGCTGCGATACGGTTGCACTTCATAACGTGCGTCAGAGTAAACTCTTTGTTGGTTAAAATTCAGCCATTGTCTTCGTAGATTTTGCTGATTTCGGTAGGTTTCGAATAGTTCAATAGTTCTGAGCTGAAACAAAAAAAATCGTAGTTTTCCTTTGAAAGTCTCTTTGTGATGTCTTACTTATCTCTCTCGTGGCTACCATGGCAACCAGGAGTGTGTCGAACAGGTGATGTCTGTAGTTTAACTTTTTTTCCTCAAGTGGTGTTCTCTACAGCCTTTAACGTGTCAGAGTCAGATCGGCGACTAACATTAGGATGCCCGTAATGAAAAGGTCCCCCTGAAATAGAATCGGCTGTCGCAACATAAAAATGTAATTGTACGGGAGACGCAGCATTTAACAGTCACATAAGCTGAGGACTTTCTGTTGTGCTACAAATGAATGTTGTAAATTGCAGTTAGTGACATGTTAATGACTTCACGGGCTTTGACAATTAAATAATGAAGCTTAAATTGAGCGAGACAGAGCTGGAGTACTATGTCGGGGTTGTATGTGTGTGATTTCCACAAGTAAGCAACCACCCTGTTTTTTTTTTCCAAGACTCTGTTCGTGTGTGCGTGCAAATGTGGACAATGCTTTGCACAACCTTTGATCATTAGGAGAGAATGCACTCTTTCCCGGAGCGGCAATAAAATTTGCAATAACAGTGGAGCAATGGGCAATAAAAACGTGAATCTGTATTGAAATAAGCCATGTTAACCAATGCGATTTTTTTTTTTTAAAGAACGGGAGTCCTATGTCGTTTGTCCGTGCCTGTATGTCTGTGTATGTGAAAGTGACTCTCGTGGTGCACTCAGTGGGATCAGTAAAAATACTGCGCGAAGTTGTGGCTGTCAGAGTCTGCTCCCTGAATTCTGTCGCCGGGGCTCAGTAGTCCTTATCAACCTCACTGACTCGCAGAAGTGCATCCCAGCAGACGGCGCAGCCCTGTCTGTGCACGCAAGTACGTACAGTATGTGTGGATGCTTATTAACAATGCATTGAGGGGCCCTAACAGATTGCCTTTCCGTGATTTCATCCAGCACAAATGCGTGCGGTGAAGAGCGTAGCCTCCGAACGGGCGCTGAAGATCCTGTTTACACGACCCTTCCTGTGGCTTCTCCTTCGTGTTCCCAGCGAGGCGAGAACACGCCGCGCAGCCGGCCGCTGTAGAGCTTTATCTCGCCGGCTGCAGGGAGGAGGAAGTGGAGCCGGGGGCACCAGTGCCGCAGCGCCCGGGCCAAATTACTACCTTCAGCCAGGGCCGGGCGGCAGCATCTGGGCCTTTTAATTTGAGGAAGGAAGTGAAAGCACTGCCGATTTAACAAGAGGCTCTGGGAGCAGTCTGGCTGCAGAGAGGGTGGCTTCTGGAAGCTGCGGACATCTGTTTTTCCAGAACGAAAGGCCACAACCCCCTCCTCCCCCGCTCCCCCCAGACACACGCACTCGCGCGCGCGCGCACACACACACACTTTAGGCTCAGCATAAAGAGCTCTGCAGCTCTAAAGTGTCAAGAGGTTTTCTTATCATGTTTTCTCTTTTTTGGGGGGTCTTGGTCCATCTTCTGATCTTCCACTTGTCAGCGGTGTGAGAAGAGATTGTTTTTGTCCCTTTTTGAGCACTTCTGCCCTCTTTATAGGCGTGGCTACTGGAGACTGGACTCATGATGATGAGTGTGAGGGGGGGCTCTGCTCTGAAGGCAGGAGGTCTGGCAGGCAGGATGATAGCGTGAAGCAGAGCTTAGGGCTCTGGGCCTCTTTTCCCAGCCAGGTTGCTGTTGTACCCCCTGAGCTAAGCGGTTCACGAGAAATGCTGCTGTAAAAAACCCTTCTGTAAAAGTTGGTTCTCTCTAGTGCATCACTGTAAATGAAAATTGTTTTCTTGATTGACTCGTTGGGTGAAATCAAAAGTTGCAATTAAAAAAAAAGTGATGGAAATGGCCCCGCACCACCCGTGTCTTTGAGATGGGAGTGCGCCCCACATTTTGACACCGCACCTCGCCCTTCACCCCACTGCCTGCCCAGCGCTGTCCATTTTCAGATTAAAAGAGGCACCCAGAAATACGTCGCTGAAGCTACACTCGTGTGTTTACATGGGGGGGGAAATGAAGCTTAAGGCGGTGATGAAACGGAGCCTGTTGTTGGAGCTGGTAGGTGATGTTTGGATTCCTCCTGGGTGTCGACATGCATTGATCAGCTCGTGTAAACACTCGGTGCAGACAGCCCTGGGGGACCCCTGACCCAGGCACAGCACAGGACTCACCTGACTGGCTGCAGCACACACACACGCACGCACGCACGCACGCACGCTCACACACACACACACAGTCTGAACTGCCCTATCAGCTCACCAGGGAAGAAATCCATCAAGCCACAAGCCCCGTTTAAAGTTGTTACGGATGGCCGGTGTGGCTTACTGTGATGATCATTCTCCGGGAAATGTCAATTTTTTTAGAAGAAAACAAAACAGGTTTGGACGGCTAACGTGCAGTGAGTTCATCTGGTGTGATCCTGGCTTGGACGGGGTTAACCTTAGAATGCAGGCTGAAATGCTAGACAGACATTAATCATCGTGAAGCACTCTGACAGCAGTAATGCAGGAAGCATTGAGGCTATACCAGGAATACCTAAGTTGTATCAGCAGAAGAAGGAATTTGGAACACAAGCTGTTATTACCAAGTCAAATCTTTATCTTCAGCATGGCGCTTCACACATGCCAAGTCTGATACATAAATAGGACATACAGAGCCAGTTCCTGTTCCCATGCCTTTGTTAGCAAACTTGCAGACCATCTGTTTTCTGTGCCACAACCACTGCAAAGGTGAGTGATCAGCTTCGCTATCATCTCTGCGCACTTTAGCCAAGCTGATCCGGGGGCTAATCGATACTCTCTCCCTCTCCGGGGGAGCAGGGAAAAGGCCCTGCAGGCCGCTGCCGGCCGTGGCAAGTGCTTCGCAAGCGCCTGTAACTAACCGGAGGTCGCATCTGGTCCACGGACATTAAAAAGCCCCAGACATTTGTCTTTGACAAAGCTACCCCCTTTTCTTTCTCGTCTGTCACGGCCAAATCAAATGCAGGTTTATGAAAATGAAGCGTATCTACAGCCTGCTGTCCCCGGATAGAGCCTGCTTCGTGTCCTCTTGCGCCGAAGGAGGCCGCGGCTGTAAGACGGTTGTTTGCGCCGGCAGAGCGAGGGCTTCCGTGTGAAAATGGAAGCGGAGGTTTGGCTTATTTTCCCACCCAGTCCCTAGCACGCCGTTAAGTGCCCTGTCACCCCCAGAAACGACAGGGGGGAGGGGGCTAATTCATTGTTCAATGTGACATTGAGCGGGCCCGATTTAGATTATGAATCAGACCAGTTTGGTCCTTCAAAAGCATCAGTCGTTCTTCCTTACACCACAGGGGACCCAAAAAGATTTCTGGATTCAGCACTTGCAGCAGTACCAGTGGGGAAAAAAGCAAGTTCATCTCCTACCAAACCACGCTCGGTGACCTAGGCAACATGATACTGAGCAACAGCTCCTAACCTCTTTCGTCTAGAATTCCCTTCTTTTCACATCTTGGAACTCAATGTTGATACGCAGGGTCCCTAAGTTCGCATTCCCTCCACATGTTGCTATCTCTCGCTGTTGACCTCCAGTTAGAGGAAGATTTTTCTGCAAATAAATCGCTATCTGTTGAGCCTAAATAGTGAGAAAGAAACCAGCGTCTCTGTCAGGGCGCTACGGGTGTATTATGCACGTCCACTGAGCCGCAAGGCAGCGATAGTATCAGCTGTGTGAGTGTGATTGAGGAGAGGCTGTGAACTCGAAGCCGTTGACAAGCAAATACCACGTCCCTCTAGGCAAGAGAAGAGCCTTGCACGGCTGCTTCTGCGCTTCGTGTTTCCCAAAGCAAAACGAAAACAGAGCGCCTGTTTACTTTGATCTGCGAGATATTCGTTTTCAATATCCTGTATGAGGGTGCTGTCCGGGCTTTGATGGTGGCCAATCTGACGTCATCGTTGCATCACAATCCAGAGAGACTTACGCCCGCAGACAAGACGCTTTCAATTCATAATTCATAAAACGCTGTAGAAAAGACGCTTTAAAAAAAAAACCGGAAGAAAACGTAATCTTGACAGTTAAGACAGAACTGTATTTTTGGTATGACGTTTCTCAAACCTAAAACATCCTTAAAAAAGCTATTTGCATTAAACATTTCCAAACAGCATACCTCAAAGTCTTGCTTATAATAAAGCATTACGTTTTTTATATAATTCTGCCTTAATTCGTGCTCTCCAAAAAAGCTTTCCTGTGCCGTGTACTATGGAAAACAAGTCTGTTTTTAGTCACAACACGTTTCTCTCTGGGATCTTACCGTGCTGTACTGCTACAGCGGAGTAGGACTTTTCTGCGCTTCGTTTTCTGTAAATAGTTCTGTTCCAGAAACAGTGTGAAGGTCATCGTATACTCTGCCCAGCAGGCGCTGTTTTGCATGTTCACCTGCTATCAGGTCACCGGGAGCGCACAGTTGCTCCAGTGTGCAGGTGTATACCAGGTGTACTGTGCTTATCGCAACAGAGGGACCGAGAGACAGGACAGAAAACAGGGAGAAGTCAAATACTTCCTGTCAAAAAGGTATACAGCCACACTAGTCATCTGGAAATCTAGAAATCTGGAAAGCATCTTGAATCCTCCTAATTAAGCAAATGATGGATTCAATTAATATTAGCTGGAGTGAAAACCAGATGACATTCTGGCTCCATTGGTGGCATCCAAACTGTTGATCAATTTCCTGGAACCACGCATGAAATTGTACTTAAAATGTGCTGAGAAAATGTTTTTTTTTTGTTAAATCTTCTAAAGTAATCATTAAAATGTTTAGAAATATGTGGGAGTTAGTCCTCTTTCCTGCACTAGAAGGCTAAGTAGGATTTCAGAGGTATTTATAAACACAAAATGCAAACGTAACAGCAAAGCCATAAATATAGATGTCCAGCGCGTATGCCCACTTTTCCTTTCAGAAGTTCTGTAATAAAAATTGGAAGGATGCTTAATCTGTGAATAGATAAATCCAAAATGGTGTGATAATTTCTGTGGGTGAATATATACATATACATATACACACAATGGGCATTAACACACGTATGTATTTTTTTCCATAATAAAGGTGTTGAGGCAGGATGCAACTCTTATCTCGGGCCCTGCCGATGATCTCGGTAATTACTGTGTACATACTTGACAGAGTGGAGACTACAGAAGGGAGCAGTGAAGGAAAATCTGTGCACTTCCACATTTCTAAAAAATTTAACCATTAAAAATAAATAAGTAGGTCTGTCAAAGGAATTAATCTCATTAAGAGGGTGGGGTCGGCAGCGCTGAAGAGCAGGTTTAATGAAGCTGTCAGAGACACCCGTCATCTCCCCTCATTACACGCTGTCCTTGGGAGCCGCCGGTCTGAGCCTTTTAATGAAGGTGCTTTTAATGGGGTTGGATGTAGTTTGGAGCTAAAGCACAGTAATAGCACTATATCAGGGATTGTGTTAGCAGGCCTTTAATGAGACCGGAGAATGTTCATGATGTGTGCAAAAAAAATGGAGAGAGGAGGGAGGGAGATTAAGCGCTTCAAACTTCTCAGCGAAGAGACGGAGGAGTGCGATCCCTCAGGAGCTCACAGAAGAAAGTTCGGTTCCGGTCCCACAGTCTCCTGTGATGGCGGGAACACACTTTCGCTTCTTCCAGTCAGACGCTGTGAACGGGCTCTTCACTTAGGACGTTTTCACCCGACCTTCGAACCTTCGTTTCTTGGTCATGAGACCACAAAAACAAAACAAAAGTGGTTTGAAAAAGACACGTTCCCCTCGGAGAACGCCAGAGAAAGTACCTGCCCGACCTTGGGGTGCCTCCGAGGTCAAAGGCGTTCAGGCAGCGGCTGTTAAATCATTCATCTCTGGAACTGAACCAAAAACTCAGATTAGTTCCAGATTCCCGCACGAAGAGACTTGTTTTTTAAACCTCGGAAATGCCTGTTTGATACGGAATCCGCAGTGAAATATGAAAATAATACAATACTTACACATGTGAATTGCACTGACAAAGAAATAGCTCCGCTATCGCCGTTTCGACCGTAAAGAGAAAGCGGGCTGTACATTCACGTTGCCTGGACAGCTGGGAATGTTAGAAATCCGTGAATGCCTTCGCAGTAGGTGTGTTGAAGAGGAGAATTATTCATGCTGCACTGTGAATAGCTATTATGAGGCAGATAGTAAAATTATAGGACACAAAGTAATAACCCCATCCTAAAATCTCCATAAACCATACAGTGTAACCCTGCCAATAAGTCTGTTTCGATGTTCTGACCTACTACCAGCAAGGAGAACCGGGTCTTTTCTGTTTAGAAGCTGGCGTGCTGGAGATGTCACCCAGGACTGCTTTCTGGGCATTGAACACAGAAACACCGTATGCAACCGTGATGCAATACGTGATGTGATCAGTTCAGTTGCTCAGCCGTTTCAAAAGTCTTTTTTTCCTGCTCTTTGATTACTTCCTTGAGGTTCGCCTAATGGCTCAAGCACTGTATTAGTACACCGGACTTTTTTTTTTAATACGGTGATGTTCCCTTCAAGTTGTTCTGGACGGGTCCGCAAATCCCATGCTCTGATGTTCGACATAAACCGCAAGATATATAGTTGATCTCAGCGGCGACGCTTAAACAGAAACATACACGTTCTTACCATTTCCCGGCGTGAGACACCCCGTTTATAACCTACCCTAATCACGAAAGAAACACGACTAAAACGTTATTTTTCAACAGGTCTGACAACACGTCGCTGAAATAAATCGGCTCGGCGTGCCCCGGTGAAAAAGCTTTTCTCATAAAGCACATTACCGAACTGTATAATGGCTTTATTAAACCATATGTCACTGTTGTATTTCCGTGCGCGTACGGGGTATGAACAGAGAAATGCAGAAATCCAGTTCTCGCTTAAAACAAACAAACAAAAAAAAAAAGAAAACGCGGCTTTGAAGTTCTGAGGTTTTAAACCCTCAGTTTTCGTTTCGTGCGGATCTCCTGCTGCCGGGTATTTTAATTGATTGAACTCCCCTTGACCGCGTGATCTTCAATACTCTTCCCTCCGAGCCACGCTGCGCTGCCGGGCGCCACTCTCACCCACCCCCCCAGTTTACACGAAACAGTGCGGTGTTTGAACACCGAGGCGATAAACAAAGCCGTTGTTTTGTTTTTCATGGGACTTGGTCCTTAAAGGTTTGCTTTGGCCTGAAGCCAAGCCTCTTGGCCATCACATCCCGATCTCGCTCGAACCGTCCCGAGTGAGCTTTCACCAAGACAAACAGTCGTGCCTTGGGCTGTTCTCCAAACACAAGCTCACCAGAACGCCACGGCGCTTTCCTTGTACTCCGTGCGTCACGTTCCGAGGCTTTGTGTGCTATAACTTCGGAATATTTTAAACGCTATTTATACTCAATCGCGTTTTTGCCATAGTGTCTTTTGTTATAACCTCGGCTGAAGCTGGCGAGTGGGTTTCTGCTCTTCAAAGGCATATTATTCAGTTTTTAAAACCAACTTGAGATGTTGCTGGCGCGCCGTGATCCACTCCTGTTGAACTTCGCTTTCAAGCTTTTAAAGCGTTTCAGCGAACCGGTCTTTATCCATTTGTCAGTTCGATAAAAGTTACCGAAAACAAAGCAAACGTTGCGAAACGCCTTGACGAAAGACCGGGGAGAATGTGTCAATCCCTTTGTTTTCCTCTCCACTTCCCTTCAGCCGGATAATTATACTGAACAAACTTTACGGATATTTCAGGTGTTCCGCGAACACGCAGGCTCACTGGGTGGTCGCCAGGAAAACGAGGCAGAACAAAACTATAGAGTCGCCGAGGTGCTGTTTACGTGAATTTCTCAGCGTTTTCGCTCACCGAACAGTAACCACCTCGATCTCTTCTGCATCGATTCGTCTTTCCACTCGGAAACCTCGTCTGTTCGGATCACGTCTAGTTCACCCCGAATACTAGATACTTCAATATATCGCTCCGGGATACTTTTTTACTTCTTTAACCACTTCCATCCTCAGTTGTGAAAGTAGTTATTGATAGGGGACACCGCTTTTATCGCCGGGCGTAAACCGCCTTGAGCTCAGGCGTAAAACGATGCTTCATCTATAATCTATTTTAAGCGGAGACAGTGGCTCGGGCAGCGCAACCCAGGGAGCCCGCCAACGCATCGGGGTCAGGCTGTGTTACAGCACAAGTGGTCGTACACCTGCCAAATAAGGTATCGCCAGATTTAATGGGGTTTCAGATTTTGTTTCCAGCTCGTTACAATGAAGTCAAAAGTTGACACAGCTTCGAGCTGGCCCGTTTGACCGTCACTTCTGCCCGCGTTGTGACTCTCGCTCCATTTTGCAAAGCAATACATTTCCACTTGAAAACAGGAAAACAACTCCTTAAAATATTCCATTCCCGAGTCTTCTTGAACGGTTTTACTATATATATGAGTTTGAGTTTCAAATAATTGAGTTTCTCTCAAAGTTTTGGTGTTTTTTTAATCTGAAAACGCGATTGTCTCAAGATAATACCCTTTTTATACCCGTGCCAAACAGAACGTGTCAACGTTTCCTTTTTTATCACACTGTTTAAGCGCCTCAGCAGAAAAATGCGCAGTCCTGTAGCCTTCCACAGAGCAGATTACTGTGTCTGTGTAGGTGGCATTCAGATGTACACTTTCACACGACAGAAGCAGTAGATAGACATAGCCCTACAATTCGGCGGAGAGAGAACTCGTTTTGTTTGTAAAATGAACTTATTTGCATCGTTTTGCATAGGCTGCTGGTGAACCCCTGCTTAACAACAGTGCTGAGTCGTTATACTTCAGCAGACTAAAACTGTGAAAGGATTAAATCGTGCAAATTAAATAGTGCTTTAACCTCGGTATGACGCTGGAGCCGTGAATCCCAGGATGTTGCGAGGGCTTACGTCGAACATCAAATAAAATGGAGCGAAATTCATTAGGCGCTTATGAATCCGGCGCTGTCTCCATGATGCAGAAATTATCAGCGCGCGACAAAGCCAACAAAGAGTTTTATATATAGCGCAGACACCCTGCTCGTGCCAATTAGGGGACAGCTGTTTTCTACCACTTAAAGACACAGGCATGTGGTGGAGGCAAGGGGGAGGGCTGTCGTGTGTTTTCTGTTGCAGGCCTCCTGTACAATATGGATGATCAGGTTCGCCTTTCACGGTGTGTGTGTGTGCAGGCAGGAATTACTTCTCAGCCTGAACTGTGAACTTTCCTTCAGCGAAGGCCGTCTGGGTTTCACATGCACGGGGTGTAAGAGGAGCCACAGTATTTAAGGCGGGTGACCAACGATTGAGTTTCTTTAAGGAGGCGACACGGTTGTGATATACAGTATATTATGACGAATACGCCCCTGCGCATAACAGGAAGGGCTGAGGAAGGTCTTCTTTAGCTCTGCCGGCAAGACGCCTGTTGAGCGACGCCGGCGACCCGGGTTCGAGCCCACGCGGTGAGGACACAAGCCCGAGAACCCGAGTTCGCTACAATATTAACGGTGGCCACTGTTCAGCAGAACTGAGAATGAAACGCGTGACACAACCGCAGAGAACGAAACGGGGTCATCTGCTTATATATAAAAAAATAAATAACCTCCAACAAATAAACTCAAGCGACCCCAAAACATCTGTGATGAAACCCTGATTTGGTCAAACTGAAAAAGCTTCCCTTCAAAGCGTAGCACGTAACCAGGCGTGCTACTGTCAAATGTATTTTAGCTGTTGTAAAATACATTTGTCTTTATGTTGTAAAATAAAGACAATCGAAGCAACATTTAAATGATTCAAATGGCAATTAATCCCAATTGAACATTCAGGAGCGTCCTTGATTTCCCGGATTGCAAAGAAGAACATTTTCTTGCACCTGCTGCACGGAAGATGCTGGAGCTCATCTATTGTGCTCGATCGGGCCGACCTTCATTTTATCAAAAGCGTATCTGGCTGTGTTCTAAGGTACCCGTGCTTTCGTTTCCGGGAAAGACCGCGGATTTACTCGTGAAACGAATCGCACAGTGGGCTGTCTGAAGTGCCATTGTGTTGTTTTCAACAGGGCCAGGTGGGCGCCGACCTGGGTTCGAGGAAGTCGGGGCTTACACTGGATATGCCGTCTCTCCCTTGGATTAATAAAATAGCGCAGCATCACTGAGCCCCGGCGTTGTCTTTCTCATATCACAGGGGGGATTGATCAGCACCCTGCACTGTGCCTTCTGAGGCGCCTGTTCATCCGGTAATTGGTGATTGGTAATCCTACAATCATTAGCGGAGGTTTCACGACGCGCTGTCCCCGCGAAAGCATTTGTTTTATTTTTAATGTGTTTAATATGTCATTATTAACAAGTATTCCCCGTACCACCCCCCCAGCTCCCTGGCAGAACCGCAGCCAGGATGTCGTTTCCCCCGTCTTCTCCAAATGCAAACTAATCTCGGCTGTGAATCTGTATCCCATTAAGCCGGGCTGCCGTAAGGGGCATTAGGCTGCTAAATATCAATATCCTCCGCAGGCTCTTCTCCCGAATCCCGGCCGAGGAAGTAAGCCGCGTGAGGCTGGAAATATCCCAAGTGTGGAGCTAAGAGCAACAGGGAGAAATAGACTTGACGCCGTAGCTAGTGGCGGCGTTTACCTTTGCGATCCTTGATCCGGTTTTCCACGGATCGTTATAATTTTTTTTTTTGTCACTTGGTGTGTCCAGGGCTGTTTAACTAGGGCAGAACGCCGTAGGTTTTTATAGGCGTTTTTAAATCGGCGGCTACTTAAGACGCGCTAAGCAAATTATTAGTTAATTTACGTAACGTACCTAAGGCTGATCACCAAGGAATTCGAAGACTACCACAGAGCACCCCTAATCTAAACAGTAATTAACTCCGTTTTGAAGACTACATTTACGGCCTATTTTTCGCGGGAGAAAAAAAAATCTTCAGTGCTTCAGTTTCTAACAACATATAGCATACTTCTTTTTTGTCGCAGGAAAAGAAAAGGGCAAAATTATGGGGGAAAACAACCCACGCAATGTCTAACCATTCTTAATAACACCGTCTTAAACCAAGGCAGTTACAGAGAGCAATGCGTTATTTCCGTGAGAGGAAACACGTTCAGCTCATTTGTTATGTGATAAGATTAGAATCCATGTCTTCATCCATCACGCTTTACTGAACTAAACCAAGGTCAGTGTTGTGGGGGAGCAGAAACACTTTTAAAGCGCACAGCCATGATTCGTTAACCTAGGTGACTCTCTTCCAGTCCCGGGTCTCCAGACAAATTCCCCAGTACAGCGACGGGAGGGCACTGCTGAAGGAGGTGCCTTCCTTAGGAAGAGAAACGCTCTGATCGCCTGGTCTTTGAAGATCCAAGGCCCATCTCTTAAGAGAAGGGGTGTAAACAGGTGTGCTGGTTGCAGTTCTAATCTGGGTTGGGCAATCTGACCTCCGCTTGCACAGTCAGGCCCTCCTGATGTTCCGTTTCAGTTTGACTAGTGACGCCATTTCCCACCCCTCGGATCTGCCATAAACTGGGTCCGCCGGCGCATAACGCGCGGGCTGCCTCGTGTCACACAGGTGTGTTCCCCTCCAGTGACGGGTGACGTCATTCCGGTTCCGTATGTCAGGCGCTTTGGGATCCTATAAGATACATTTGGTTATATAGATGGAACTATTGTTATACCACACAGACACGACCACCAATTTGGTTTTAAACTCAAAACGGTACATTCGCCAGTTTTGTTATGGTTTCACTTTACTGTTTTATTCGCTCTGCTATCGCCAGTTTTTTTTTTAACGTTATACTTCGCCTTCGCTCACATTAACCTGGGGGCAATACCGTGCATTATCGCAAGAAACACTTCCCTTATTTACTATGCCAAATCGCCACTTTAACCCAATACTGCATCGTAGTATAAAAGATGCTACAGTGTACGACGTATAGGGAAAATGTGTGATGTTAGCGTGGCAGTTCACCAGGGTAAACGTTAATAGGGATGAGTAATAGGTTCCATGCTGAAAAGAGAAGAAAAAACACAACGTTTCGACTGTAGAGCCTTCTTCGAGTGTACACTATTCAAATATACAAACCTAAATGCATTAAATACGGTGTAAGATGATTTGATATCAACTCCTCAGATCAACAGTTAAATAACCAAAAAGAGACTTCTAAAGGGTGATCTGAAGAAACGTGTTTTATTTTTCTTGTCCAGACCAGCTCTGTGGTCTTTGAGCGTCTGTCTTCATCCTTCAGTTTGATAAATGCCATTCAGTCTCCCTGTAGGTATAGCAATATCGCATTCTCCATGTGTAATATGCATTTACTCCTCCAGCATGATGGTGTAACCTATATTATAATACAGCTCTGCACTATATGTGTATAGCAACTTAAATTATTTGTTTACTGACTTTTGCAGGAGTGTATCTTGTCGCGAGTTTCTAGCTTCTAGAAAGGACGATGTGGGACCCGCGTGTTCTAACCCCGAGATTTGCCGTCAATTAGTCAGAGCTGCAGCTCCGAGTCGTCTCCTCATTTTCAGGATCTAGGTGTAAAGCGGTGGGGTTCCTTATTTTAACAGCTGTGTTCAATCCAACATGCCGGCTCCCTTCAGCTCGCTCATTGTTAACCAAAGCTGTTTGATTTAAAAAAAAAACGGTGTAACTCTCCCGCTAACGTCTACAAATGTGAAACCTCAGCCTGTCAAAGCATTAGGAATGAAAACAAATGATCCCCGTCGGGGGCGTGGACGGGAGTTCGTGTGAGAGCTAGGCCTGCATGTTTTCTTTTGTGGGACGAGCAGGAAGACGGTGAATGCAGCACGACAGTGCTCCGATTAAATGAATCGGCAGGCGGCTGTGCTTCGCCTCCTCTAAATTACTGTCACCTCTATGGCCCCGTTGGTTAATTAACGCGGTCTTTGTTCAACGAAGGACTTTTTCATGACCGTGCTCCGACATTCTAAAAGCTTTCTCTGGTTTAGCGGCGATGCAACGTCTGACTGGGGGCAGAATTGATCATTGCAGTAGCAGTGGCAGTTAGGAATGCTGCTTCGCAGCTCCTGTTTCTCCAGTTTGATCCTGGACTGAATCCAGCGTGGGTTTCCTCCTGGTGCTCCCGTTTGCTGGCAGTCTGAAAGGGTGTTGCTAAATCGTATGATATCGTCCTGAGGTACGGCGATGTCCCGTTCGGGGTGTAAAGCACTCTGTGCTTTCAAGACAAGCACAAACCTGCTGACACCTTGGCCAGGAATAAGCAGCGTTCTGGGAATGGATGGATGGCTGGTTTCACTTGTGGCACGGAAAGACCTTGGCCGCACTGATTTATTGGTGTTTCTGAAAGGGGGGAGTATTGACTCAGTGCTGTTTTCGTTTCACCACTGACAAAAGATCATTGTCGAAGCACTCATCCGGCATCTTCCAAGAACGCCTGCCCATGCCTTGCTCTCCATCGTTGTAGCCCCTGGATTGAGACGCAGTTGTCTGGCCACCAGAAAAAAGTCTGAGAATTGTTTTTTTTTTTAATTGGCCAAAGCCCAGGTCTAACAATTTCTCCAAAATCTACTGGACCTTATCCCAGATTACTCTTCCAATCATTGCAATTAAACCCTTTAATGAACTCTGCAGCATGGCTTGCCAGTGTCCCTCTGTTATGGAAGAAGCATGCTCTGTGCACAAGAAGCTGTGTTTATTAACCAAGGATCCCCAGGCCTGGTCCTGCAGGTTAGAGTTCCAGTTGAGCTCTGTGTTACACAGTTGAACCACTAACCAAAGATTCATTTGAGTTGTCTGTTTGCAGCTTTTCAACATGTCAAAGGTTGCCTTTTAGCGATTGTTTTTCACAACTAAAATAAAATCCCAAACCTCCAAGGAGAGGTAAACAACTTGCAAATATTGCAATCAAGTAATTTGTTAGATCTGTTTTTCTTAGGTGATTAAGCTGGGCTGCACTGAACACCAGGAGGTATGTGAGTCTGCTGGACCAGGACTGAGAACCCCTGTACTAAGGCAACACTGTATATATTTCATCAAATGGACTTTGCCATAGACAGGTGTTCTCAATCCTGATCCGCGGGATTAACTTGTGTCTCCAGATTTTCATTCCAATTTAATCACCCTTCATCACCTACACATAATTCATCTCCTTGCTTGTTTAGACTTTTTTTATGCACTCAGTTTCAAAAATACTCAAGTATATTATTTCCCAGAACTTCCACCTATACAATACCACCTCAATTGCAAATTAATGGTTCACTGCATTCCAGCAAGAAAGCTCTTAATGTGTGATCAATGAATGCTGAGCAGTGAAAATGATATTGTAGGAAACACTACCACAGTGTTTTTTTCCTTCTGCATAAGTCAAACTGGTTAGGTTTTAGCTAAAACGCCCAAAGGGGGGAATTAAGAAAGTCAGGAATTGGCACAGGCGTGTTGCCAATGACCAGCCACATACAACTTATTAAAAGCTGAAAGAAAATGTAAAAACACACCTAAGGTAGAACACTGATATACCAATCTACCTGTGATTTTGAGGTGGCTCTGTGGCTAAGGATCTGCACCTGTGGCTGGAAGGTTGCCGGTTCAAATCTCATGGCCCGCAGAGGAATCCTACTCCGTCGGGCCCCTGAGCAAGGCCCTTCACCCCAACTGCTCCAGGGGCACTGTATAAATGGTTGACCCTGCACTCTGACCCCAAGCTTCTCTCCTTGTCTGTGTGTCTCATGGAGAGCACATATGGGGTATGACAAATTCCTAATACAACAAGTTGTATGGCCAATAAAGTTATAAAGAACACCACGACATCCCAGGACCAAAATTGAGACGCACTGCTATAGACTCCCAGTCAGGGGTCAGTTTGAGAACGGGAAAAATTCTGTCGAGGCGAGACAAGCATTTAAAATATCAAGTAATAGGTTTATTCCGTGCTGAAAAGAGAAGAAAGAAAACACAACGTTTCGGCTGTGGAACCTTCTTCGGGTGTAAGAGTATAACCATTTGAAACACTTGTAAACCCAGCTCATCTAAAACAACAAATATTGAGAAATTTTTAAAATATCATATTTTAGGATTGACGATCTTTTTGTTTAGTCTGTAGGGCTTCGTTTGCTCCGAAGACGCGATTAGTTCCCTGTTTTAAATAAAATATTGCTGTACGATTTAAATCCAAGTCGTCATAATTTACAAAGATAAATGACCTTAAGAGGTCTGTAAGATTAAAATGCGGATTAAACCTTTTAAGGTTTCTCGGTAGATCTTATTCAAATCACTTACGTTTTCTCTGTTGGGGTTTATTGTTGCAGTTGTAGCTGTACTAGTGCAGTAATCTCCCTGCTCAGTTCACTGAGGTCGCTCACGGGTATTTCTGATTATTATCAGTGTAATATTTGTCAGTTCACCGCCAAACTGCGCAACTCAGAAAATATCTGACAAATCCGAAACGTCATATGCCTTATCGACAACAAAAACATACTGAGCGTCCAAACTCCACCGAAGCAAAGCTCCGTGAAATCCTATAGGCTCCTTTTGATCCTCTCCCAGTTTTTTTAAGTTTGTCATCAGTTTGTGATTAAACAGCGTCGCTTTTTTTAATCAAAGCTTGCCTAATGAATGACCATTAATATTAATACACGGTGAAACGTACTTAATATTTTATTTATTGCGTATGAATTGTTTTAAATAAAGCAAATGAGGCATTCAATGAATTTGGAGCGCATCGCAGCGAATTTCCATTAATCAAAGATTAGTTTGCATTGTTTTACCGTAGTTCCTCGATGAAGCCTATAGAAAAAGAGATAAGTAATAATTTGAAACAATTGGGATCACACTTGTAAAGCCAGCTTATCTAAAACCAAGAGCTTCAAAAAATGTTCAGAAATGTTTGTTGCGTGTTTTTTTTTTATTGCCTCCACAAGCTCAGACATCACGTGAAGCTGCTGCCGTTGCAAGCTGTTATCGTCCAGTTTCTAACCGCTTTATCCAAAACAGGGCAAGCGCCGCGCGTAAGCCTGGGTAAACCAGGGACGGGAAGCCAACGCATCAGAGGGCGCGCACTCACACCAGGGCCGTCTGAACCACCAGCACGTCTTTGGACTGTGGAAGAAATGCGAATTTCACAGTCCAGAACAGGCTACCTGGAGGCAGATTGCAGCTCACGCCTGGGCCACAGCGTTAAGAGGCAGCAATGTTAACCACTGTACCACCGTGTCGCCCCAAATGTACATATAATCCCCTGAATGAAACAGCTCGGAACTTGGCAGTAGCGTCAAGTCAGGACGGCTTTCCGCTGATAAAGAATCCATTGATCTGGAGCGCACTGCAGACATCCTTCCAACCAGACAAGCACCGTTTCCTTATGGAACCGTGTAATCCGAAGGGAGAAAATGTATAAATGTTTTTTAAAAAAAATATTCGGACGCCTACAGACCACATTTCGATTACAGCACTAGAAAGTGCAATTCGTTTGTTTTTTTTTCTTTGACGGGGCTACGCCTGCGTGTACGCCCGGTGCTAATTACGGCACACCCATTAGTCTTATTTGCTGCGTAAATATAGGACGTTAATCTATCAGAGCATTAATTGTCAAAGTTCGGGGTCAGCGGAGGTCAAGCCACGCTTTACTGTGTAACATCACGAGAAGCCCGTTATTGAACAGCAAAGCAAATCTTTTTACCGACCCCCCCCTCCCTCTTCTGCCCCCCCTTTAGAGCCACTTACAGCAGTTAACCCAAATCTAATTACACCTCAAGTGGCCATTACATTGCCCAGCAGGACAGGGAAAGTTATTCATACCGCAGGCTTCGAGATTCCCTTTTGAGGCTTCGATGATTGAAACACACCGCCAGCCTGGCAATAAATAGGGTTATGGAACAGTAATTTTGCGTCGTGTGGCGAGCAAGAACTATAGACTATCCGCATTTACCCGGAATGAAGCAAAGCAGGCTCCTGGCAGCTTTGTGATAAAACTCCCAACCCTGACGCCTTGCTTTGTGTCTGTGTAATGCCAAGGGAGAGTTCACTTAATAGGAAGCGATATGAAGGTCTTCTCAAATTAACACCACTATTCTCATTTCTCCCAAAACTATGCTATGCTGTACTGAGGTTTGAAAAGAGAGCTAAATTGTAGACAGATGACTTAAAAAAAGTTTGCTTGGGTCGACATTTTTTGCCTTGTAACATATAAAAATAGTTTTTTTTTTCCATGTAAATAATAGATACTTTGTTTTATCTTATACACAAGGTAGCTAATGCAATTCCCCGGTGTTGGGATCTGGCACAGACACGATATTTATTCAGTCTCCGTGACCTCACAGTTAATGACCTGAAGTGCAAAGCTAACGTGGAGCTGGCAGATATCTCAGCGTTCCCAAAAACAAAAGCCTTTTCCGACAAGTGATTCAACTCCCAGTCTAATTTGTTAATGATGCCTTCAGGCTTTTCTCAAGAATAAGGAAATGAACAACCGCGCGGAAGCAGAAAAGGACGCTTTTAAACGAAAGTATGTTTTCGTGTTTCCGTAAACCCCCGCTTGTGAAAGGACAACAGAGGCCACTTTTGCTGTATTGTCACATGCTACGTTTCTTGTATCGGCAAATTAACTGCAAATGCAAATATCTAGAATTGTTGTATATTATTATAAACACCGTGAATGGTCGAGAGAACTATCCTACACCTTTATACTTCATATAAGGAAAGCCCCGGGGATCGATTTATAGGAAGTGACCCTTCTTGTTAAAAAGCCTCTCGACGACTGGGATATTACAACGCAGCACGAATACCATGGCATATTTAAGTGTCATTAAAAATAAACGACACCATTGGTTGTTAAAACAAAAACTGGATTTTATTTCCATTTGAACAAAACCCATTATAGCTCAATACATTCCATATGGAAAAAAGGGCGTCTTTTATCAAGTCGGTGACGTCGAAGAATAACGTTCCACTCGGTCTTCAACGGGTTTCAGGTTCAGCTCCTGAAAACGGATGACACTTCCTTAAATCCCCCACCGCTACTTCCAGAACTTCGTGCAGACAAAAGCAGTATTTATGACACTTAGGAATTCAATTAGAAATGCTGTCTGTCCGAGGAGCGCGTACAAATCGGTCTGTGCATATGATGCCAGTTTCCACAGCTGTTCAAACTGTAATGTCCGGCGAAGACGAATCGTTTTCAACTGCTAACGGTGCTGCTCAGACTCCGTACTCAGGGACTCCCGCTGTTTTTCCTCGAGGCTGGAAAGGGAAAGCACAGTACGGTGCATTTTTTTTGTGACAAGGCAGTTTATTCATCGATGCCAGCTATAATAAACCCCCGCAGCTGCGTAATATGTCAGCGTGTCTGTCGCTCGGCTAAATTCGGTTCTCTCAGCTTCGCGGCCTAGTGGGGTTTCGAAACCCGTTTCCAAAGGTAAAGGATTTCAGGCTCTGCGGCTCCTCACATACGATCAACAGCCGCGACCATCGTGGAAGCGTTTCGAGGTATAGTGTTACAGTTCTGTGAAAACTGAACAGGTTCAACTCAACGGCTTTTCTTCTTTCATACATACGTAGAGAGGGACGGAGAGAAAGAAGCTGAGGTATCTTTTTAGCCTTGTGTGTTTATATGAAAGGAACTCGAGAGCGGGATTCTTATGGTTGCGCACATGTTTGCTTAATGCGAGAACCGATCTTCTAAAGCTTATCCATGAATATTCATGGTGATCAAGATCACCCAGTTCTAAAAACTTCTTATTTATTCAGATTATTAAAGGACTTACCAAGAGCTCTTTCAAAGTTCAGCCACACTCCGATTCAGAGTCCTAAAACTCCAAGATAAGTATGGTTGTGAATTTTTTAAGCACGTTTCAAAATGGGAAAAAAACACTAGCATACACAGTAGGAAACATATTCTCTTATGGTTTTATTGCCATTTATTTTAAAGGAACTTTTCTGTAAAATATAAATACAAATGAAGGGGTATTTTTTTAATTACAAAGTTTAAACACGTCTCCAAAAACGATAAACACACCAGTCAGAAACAGTAAACTGCAGTCATCACCCTGTTATGTACAAGTTCAAGCATGTTTCCTGCCAAACAGCTTATAACATTTTAGTATTTTTTAAACTTCTTTAATATTTTACAAAAAAACATGAAAAAATATTTTAGATTTTTCATCTTTAAATAAGAGATAAAAGTAAAAACTGAGTTTGAACACAGGTACAAAAAGAACTGCTCCTGAAGGCTGAGCTTTATGAGGAAACAAATGCAGGAGGGCGTCTGGTTGCTATGGATACGAACTCCATATTTAAGAAAACTTTCTTTCAAACAATATTCGTTCACCTGACCAAGGCAGGTAAGTCTGTAAACAAATAATGAAGTGCACTGTTTAAGATAAAATAAAATATAAAAGCGTCTCCCACTGTAGTCACATGGAAGCTCACATGACCTTTGAAAAGTGAGCACCATTCTTTAAAATCAGTGCCTATTTCTCTCTTTTTACATTGGGTTCATATTTAAAAGACCAGTTGTGGAAAATGCTGACTTCTTTGAGGGACAACAGAAAAAGAAATAGGCAGTATATAAAATAATAAAAACACACAAAAGGAAATATTTATATATATTTATATATTTATAAAAATAAAATAAAAATAAAAAGGTAATAGTTAAATTAAAAAGTCCTTCTGAAGGGAACTGGAATTATCTCCCGACAGTCCGGGCAATGGGATTTTCCCATGTTCCCTGCTGAGTCCAGTCTGCGCTTTACTCCAGTATGTACACTATGTACAGGCACGACGGGCGCTCTCCTGTGGGGAGTCCAGTGTGAGGGTCCGAGAGGTCACGACCTCCCATGCGAGGACAGGGGGTCCCAGCGGGTGTCCAGGCACTCCAGGGAGGAGCCCAGCAGCGCCACCAGCTCCGCCGTGAACTCCACCAGGTCCAGCAGCTCCTTGCTGTCGGGCACGAAGCCCTCCAGCTCCTCGGGGCAGGAGAAGAGCTGGCTGAGGGAGGCCTGCTTGTAGAACTCGGCCTCGGCGATGGTGGCCACCTCGATGTGGGAGAAGGCGGCGCGGAAGGCGCGCGCGGTCATCTTCAGCCGCTTCAGTACGTCCGAGAGCAGGAGCCAGTTCCGAGGGCTGCAGAGAGAGAGAGCACCGGCCATTAGATCACGCCACTGATCGACGTCTTTCAAGAGCACCTTCACAGCGGGTGTAAAGGCCCAACGCGGAAAAAGCAGCAGTGTGATTCAACCGCATCTCCGTCCCGCGGCCAGCTGATAACTGCCAACACCGGGACGGAGCCAAGCCGCTCGCTGAGCCCTGCCCGAGCGACTACAGCGTTGAGCAAGAGAGCCGGACCCGATCGGGGGGGAAACAACTGAGCGCCGCCTTCCTCCAAAAAATGACAACGGCGCACATCACCCATCCGACGCGTTGGCAGGCTCGCCGCGAGTGCGACGCATGAGCCCTGCCGGTGCGACGCGAGGAGAAACGAGCAAGAATCAGGCAATCGCCCCTCCAGCGATGGAGAGCTATTAATACTCGGCAGTGGCAGCCTGCTCAGGGTGGAGTAGGCACTGGAGAGCACATGCCTGCTAAAGAGTGTGGGTGGGAAAAAGACAATGGGAGTTCTTTAAGTGGATTAAACATGCGTTTGGGGTTTTTTTTTTCGGATGATGAGAGGTGATTGATGCAGAGCGCTGAGGCTGGGTTCGCTGGGTGAGTGAGTAAGACAGTGTAGGAGGCAATTAGCTCTGTCTGGTTTTGTTTAGCTTACACGCAGAGCGCACGTCTTTCGCTGGCTGCGCTAAAGCCTAGCGGCACCCCGTCCTGCCTTTCAGAGCTGCTCTTATTTAGGAGGATCGAGCTGACAGGGAGAGAAGTGTTCCAGCAGTTGAGCCCCTGCGACATAAATTATTTCCACCCAGACAACCTCCGTGACAACTCCCAGCACGCTGCCAACTAATGACCTATAGCCCCAGGTGAGACGTATTACTTTATCAATACTCCAGTAATAATGATCCTGGGTTTGGCCATTTAATTAAAAGCTCTGCATAAGGGTGGATCCAAAACCAAGACTGGGAGTCTGGTGACTAGTAATTACTAGTCGTGTAAGAGAACATTTAACTCAGGTAGAATGTTCCAGTGTTATTTTAGATTCAGTTTATCACAAAGCATGGAGTTTTTAGTCCATTCGCCAGCAGAATATTACAATTCCCAAGTGTTTTTTTAAAGCTAGGGCTGTGATTAGTCTGTAAAAGCAGGCATGAGGTGGCTGAAAAGACAGTTTGGCAACACTCAACAGATCTGTCGAACAGCAAAAGGGTTGAGGCCTCTTTAATTTATTCCCATATACTTAAAGGACAGGTAACTTGTTTAAAAACAACATTCAAATTGGCTTGCAAATACTATAGCCAATACCCAGTCCTATAAGTAGGCGACCGTGTTCTGGAACTCTGTATTCAGGAAGAATGGCACGGCAGCGCTGTCAGGCTGACACGTTAAACAAGTCGGGAGGAGGGTACTGAGCAGCTGGCCGGAGACATGGCACAGGATCGCCCCTTACCCCTGGGAGACGGAGACTTGAATGTTGTAGCAGGGCAGGAGAGGGCGGTCGGAAAACTCGAACTCGAAGACGTCTCTCTGCTCCTCCTCGGTCTCGCCGGGCCCGGGCGGGTTGGCCAGGATGTCGAAGGCGGCCGCGTCCTCTGCTGGCTCTGGAGAAACAAGAGCGCGGACAACTCACAACCGGATTCCTGTCTGTTCGCGCCACTCTTTCACCGTTTAAGTTTCCTAGGCCGTACTCCCCACGGCTCGTGAGGGGCTCTCCGTCAGCTGGATGAGCCGCAGATCCGGGAGGCGTATTCCTCATGGGATTCGCTGCTGTCCCTTTTACATAAACAGTGCAGTGGCCCATGAGCCGAATGCACTTGCACCATGTTTAATTGCCAGGTGTTCCCCTCAAGTTAGTTGCTACACTCCGTAAATGAGAGTTTCCTGAATAATTCAAATGCAGACGGTTCCTGGCAGGGCTTGCTATGCACTTCAGAGATCAGTGAAAAAAAACCCTTTCTGGCACAAATGAGTTATGTGCTGCATCATTGTCTATTTATTGGTTTAAATTTCCCACAAGATATTTACGCCTTCATTTGGAGGGATTAAACATATCAAGATTTATAGCTGGGGAAAAAAAAAGCACAGTATTGCAGCGTCCAGAGACGCTCAAGTTCACAAGAGTTAAAAAAAAAAAAGGCTCTGGGAGGGGATGTGTTCGTTCCCGAGCCCGGAGAGCACGTTTTTTTCCTCGTTTCTGCTCGCAGAGGATAAAGATATTTCTCAGGTTAATGTGGACTGCATTTCCCTCCTGGGAGGGGACTTTTCCACTTGGTAATGCGTGAGACAGACAGCCCCGTGCCAGCCCAGGAGCTGCGTCATGTGAGAGCTGTAATTGTGCCTCCGGAGCTGGAGAATGAGGCAGGAGATCGACTGCGCAGCGGGAGGCAGGCAGCACGGGCGGGCCGCGCCATTCACGAGAGCTCCTCGAGCTTAAGCGGTGCTCAAGGAACATGTTTGAGAGAGCACGAGCAAAAAAAAAAAAACCCCAAATACCGCAGCTTTTGGATTACACTGTTGGGGAGATAAATCCATTTAAGAAATCGAATGCATACTGTTATAGAAATTGTCCAGAAAGATGAGGATTGTACCTTTATTCCAAAGAATTAAGGGGGGAAAAAAATCATATAATGCAATTAAAATGCTGGGACTAAGATTTGGTTTGGGGCTTTCTCTTGAACTTTTCCAAAATGGTGTCCTACGGTAACACAATAAACTTTTGTCATCAAGGCAAAAAAATGATGTGTTTCAATGGACGTTACAAGCTGAAAAACACAACTGGTCTGCTCTTATTTGTTAACGTATGTATTAAAGTGGAATTTAAAGCACAGGGTGACAGAGAGGGGCAGAGGAATAGAAAAGGAAGGGTACAGTAGCACAGATGTATGCGGTCTTTGGATTAATGTAAGCTGAATGCAAGTAAATCAGAGGTCTTGTGTGTTAAAGCCCCCTACAGTCCCGGCCAGAGAAGTCTAGTATCCGTGAAAAGGCTCCATTAGAGTCTGCCCACAGGGGAGTTCCATGCTGTTTCTGGCTTTCCGGTGGATAGTAGCTCCGCACGGCCAGCGCTATCCTGCGGCAGTGTTTACGGAACAGCGCGGGTAGACTCACCGCAGACGGAGCTGCCGTAGAAATCCCAGTACAGGCCGGGGTCGTCTTCGCCGCGCCCCTGGAGGTCAGCGAAGTAATCTGTGGAGACGGCAGGAAAGAGCAGCGTTTCAGTGACCGAGCCAGGCCGCCTGCCCGCCCTCCCCCCCCTTCAAATCTCCGCACGGCTCTGCAGAGGTCAGAGCCAGACGCACCAGACCGCGCAGCGCGAGCGAGGACAGGGCTTAACGCTTTGACAGCTGCTCCCCGGCAGCCCCGCGTCTGCCTGCTAACCCTGCCTCCAGTACCCTGGAAGAACGGGGAATCTGCCCACACTCGCTTTTTTCGTCGCGTTTTGGTTTTTTTCCCCACGATGCCCTGTTAATGCAGATACGGTGAATTCACCTCCATTAACAGCAGACAGGGAACTGTCGGACATTTTCTGGGGATTCCGCATTCCTATTTTGCGTTTGGGACCCCCTCCTAACGTTTTACCACACCCGTTTTATTTTCCGACTCCATCCACCGAACGCGCAACCGCCGCGGTCAAATCGGCGTCTCCGGGACAGCGATGACAAAGTGACTTGGCGGGACCCCGAGCGCTGAAGGAGTTGACAGATTTTCATGGTCGTTTTCCCCAGCAGTGTCATTACTGCCAGACTGCAGGCTCTGCCCGCGACACACATGCCTCATTACTGTTGTATCCCACCTCTAAGCTGAACAGCACGGATTAAACGAGCGGAGGGAAAGAGGTGTATGAGGTGACCGGGGGAGGAGGAGGAGGGGGGGTTGAGTTGAGCCCAGGAGCAGCATGAAAGAGTCGCCATGGGGATAAGGAGTGGTGGGGGGGATTCATGCAATAGAAACCTGCAGGCCTACTGCTTTCCCATGGGGATTATCAAGCACCATCACGACTATCAAGGCCGCAATATCATTTGAAACACTTCCGAGAAAACCTTCACCGCTGCTAATAAGAAAAATCCAAGCGTGCGCGCCAGACACAATGGCATCAGAAGTGCCAAGCGCCTGCAGGAGCAAATCGCAGCACCATTATAAATAAGTAATCAAAAGTACAGAGTTAAATTGGTCAGGACTGTGTGGTCCAGACCCTCAAAGGCACTGTCAAGCGTTCTCTAAAACACCGACCAGGACACCAGCGGAAACAACATCAGATAAAACCGAACAGAGGAGGCTCTTCTTTACATAAAGGGGGGTGGGAGGGTGGAACAGGTAACCCATGCTGTTAAAGCCAAACCTCAGACTGAGCCATGAGCTTGTTTGCAACGCTGGTGTGGTCGTTCAGATGTAGTTTGTGGTTTTGAGTTATTGAGAACAATGGGAGCTCTCAGGGGTATGGGTGCACATAGGCTGCACCCAAGGCTGAACTGCGCCGAGAAAGAGGATGAAGGTGCACTTTAATTAGGGATAATAATAGGGGAATGGGTGAAGAGCACTTAAAGCACAGATCTGTACCCACATTTCCATTCGAATGTACAGCAGGTTGTGGCAGACATGACAGCAAAAGGGCTTGAAAGGAGTTCACAGAGGGTGCCGAGAATCATAAGCGCTTCATCCAAAAGCCTCCACCTCAATCATGTCAGTGGCACAGAAAGCAGGACGGGAAAAAGCTAAAACCATCAACTTTAAAGGCAAAGGAATTCATTCCCACCGGCCCCCGCTTTCCCTACCACCATGGTGACACTGCGTGTTTACGGCTCATGAAATGGGCTGGGGACTTTTCTTCCACAGCCCGCAAAGATGCTGGATGTATAAATGTGTCAGGGAAGATATCCGCTATTTGAACTTGAAACCTGGCTATACCTATCCATAATCTGAATCGCCAAAGCCCACCCCCTCAGAAACCATACCGCAACACTAGCAGACAAACAATATCACTCGTCCTTAAAAGGGTGAAAAAGGGAGAGAGTGGAGGGGAAGAGAGAGTAGCTTGATTGTGTATCTTGTTGTTCCCTGTAGCTACGGCAACCAGAGCGCAGGAAGCTAGCATTTTAAATGCTAAGTAGGAAATAATGATTAAAGAACGAATGGAATGAGAGTCCTAATTGTAGGCACGGGCTCTCGTGCTGCCTGGTGTTAGCGTTTTGTTTGCCTCCTCTGACTGATTTCGCTGCCTCCGCCCGCTCGAGCGGCCCAATGTAGGTCAGGCAAGCAGAGCGGCGATCTCTTCTGCGTGCTCACCGCCGCTGAGGAGACTGGAGGGCCGAGGCCGCACCTCGGCAGCCCTCTTCACACTCGCCAAGCAGGCCGGCCTTTCCCGAGGCCCCCGGAGAGCACTGGACCGCACAGGAGCCGCCAGCTCTCCGGCACCCACGGGCACAGGCACAGCCCCGCTACGGGGCGCCCCCAGAGGTTTCCCCTCCCACAACCTGCAGAGCTACAGACGGACGAAGGCTGAGCCCCCGAAAGACGGAGGGAGGGGTTTTCAGTTTGTCATCTGGAGACGTTTGCTGAGAAGCACTTTCCTGTTGCCATGGATGACTCACTCCTCATTAGACGACAACGGAAGAAGGGGACATGGGAGCTATTATCAAGGGCTGAAGACCGGGACCTTCTGGAATCCAAAGGCTAAACGGACAACCTCTGTCCTTAAATGACAGCGACCCAAGACTGATGGTTCACGTGTCCAATTCGGCAAATACATTTAGAGGAAAAAACGATACATGGTGTTGTTTTTCCTCCTAAGCCCATCTTAACAACAAAAATATGTTGATGTCTGACTCTCTAAAAACAACCGGTCTCTTAGTGCTCCCAGTGCTCTATGACGCTGTGCTCTCCGCTGTTGTCTGAGTAATGCCTCAGACAGGAGACCAAAGCAAAAACAAAATACCACAGCCTTACGAAACTCTCCTTCCATCACAAAGCAGCACGGGTTTCCCTCCCAACATGCAGGAATTCAGAAAGGCTTGCAGGTAAGGTTCACAGTAGGCAAATATTTCCAGTCCTGACTGAAAGGGCCAAATTAAACACTTCTATCCCACTAGGCAGGGTTAGAAAGGGAAACTGCAACAGCAAAATCCTATCCACATTTTGTTCTGGATTTACATGGGTAGAGAAACAATTTGTGTTTCTCGCCAACAAGTAGAGTACAAGGTGCTTTACACTTTAATGTATATAAGGAAAGATATTCAACCACTGCATTTAATCCCTCTTGTTTTAAAATACACCGGATTATATTGGAGAATTTTCTACGCAATACATTAATTACGCAAACACCTTGGGGAGAAAAACACCTCTGACCACAGTTATCCTAAAACTTAAGGCTGGGGACTCATTTATGATTAAAAGGCATGCACACTTGTATAGTCACGTATGATGCCTCTTTTTTTTTACCAGGGAAGAAAAAATTCAAAATTTGAAAACACTCCAGTGAGGCTCTGGCACAATGTAGCCACTGTTCCAGTTATGAAAGGGATAAATTTAGAAAACGTGTTCGTGAAAACAAACGGGGAAAAAAAAAGAAGGAATTTCCCCTCGGCAGTCGTCACTGCTCAGAGACGCTTGGTGGTTGGAATACGTTTGCTCGGATTAGAAGGTCGCCGATGAACCCAACCAGGTGGGGCGAGCCGAGCCAGGAATCGGGAACAGGTCCTGGAGCACGAATCGCGCAGGCAGGCTGCGCTCCTGTCTGTCTGGGAGGTAATTGGGTCCCTACTTGTTAGGCGAGAAAGAGACAGGTGCTACTGGCAGCATCAGTCCACCGGAGCTCAGCTTGTGAAATTAAACCGCGTGTCTAAGCCACCGAGTGGCACAGGAACACGTTTCTGCCGCAGGGTGAGACTGATTAATATAGCTCTGGGCTGATAGAAAGAGAGGGGAGGGGGGAGGTGGAGGGCACAGCGAACTGAAACCTGAACGAAGGAACAGAACACACACAAAAGGCCCGGGACTCCTCAACATTTGCTTCCTCTGATGTTCTCTCTCTTCTTCCAGTCTTTTATTCGTACACTACTCGATACGGCCAGGTCTTCATTGTCCTGTAACTGTTTCTCGTGCCACAATGACTAGAATCCCTCTGGGGCCCGGAAGAGAGCCCCTGTGCTCAGACCAACGACGATGGTGCTCACTAAACACAGCATGACAACCCCTGAAGTCATTCCTTCAACCGCCTGCAAACCCTTGTTTTGATTCCAAGGAGCAAGGCCTTCAATCCCACTACCATACAGGACCTTTCACTTACTACTTAAAACACAACCACCACAGAGCGCTTTTCACTTTAAAAAGCGGCCTGCCTGTTTGGAAACTAACAAAAACACAGCAAAATCAAACACCCAGACACAAACACATCCTGCTCCCTCAGGGTACAGGAGTTCAGTTGCCCAATACCATGAGAACTTTTTTTCTGAAATAAATACACACCAGCGCTGCTAAGCAACCCAAAACACTGGCAAACGCAAGCGAGAGGCCGGGCAATTTTTCAAGAGGTAACGGCGCTTTCCGAGGGCTGCTGCCGCCCCCGGTCCATTCCGCGCGGCGACAGACCGAGTCGGATCCCAACACGGAGCCGCAGAGCCCGAGCAGCAGGTCTTACCTGAGAGGAAGGCCTCCATGAGCTCGCTGTGGGTCATTTTGAGCACGCTGCGGCCGGAGTACGTCGCCAGCGTCGGATCGGCCCCATAGGAGAGCAGCAGCCGCACGGTGTCCAGATGATCGTTCTCCACCGCGTCATGGAGCGGCCTAGAGAGACGCAGACACTGGGGGTTACGCAGGGTTCACGGCATCCTGTTCGGAATCTGGGGGTCCCCGGGAGCATCGGCCACGGTTTTCATTGGGGGCGCCTCCAAAGCAAATCAGCGCGTTCCCCTGACAGGTCAGCCCCGCGGCGCACGGAGATACATCAGCTTGTCAAGGAACACAGCTGTGCAGCAGATTGCCAGGAAGATCCGCCTGGTCAGACACTAAAGACCGCACGCAGCTGGGGCGCAGGCTGCCAGTCGGCACGCGGAAAGACTCCCGCGCCTGAATTCTCGGATTCCGTCAGGAACGACGGCGGAATCCGAAAACCCCCCCCCCAAAAAAAACCCTGCAATTCACAGGATCGGACCCCAGGAGGGCTCAGGGGAGCGGTTTCTGCCGAATCGCATTTTTGCCTGTTTGGAATCAAAGCAGCAGCCAGTCACGCAGTCCCATCCCAGTGTCCGATAGGGGATTCGCTGTGCGCCAGACAAACGCAACAAATGGCTTTCATTACTGGATGCTGGAGGAGATTTTGGCTGCTTGCTGAGGCACCACCCCCGGAATGATTTGTGTTCAGACTTTTCCATTTAATTTTGTCGTGAAGGCAAGCCAGCTTCTGAAAATCAGACCTACCGTCCATAACTGGCTGGCGAAACAGAATTTCAAAGTGTAGGCACACATCTGCTATCACCTGTTCAAAAATCCGAAAATCTAAATCAACTAAAAAAAACCCCACAAAAGATCAAAATGTGAAATCTTCATCTCTAGAAAATCCCTTAAAATGCGGAATGAAGCCTGCAAGCTGCTTTAAATAACGGCAGAAAGCCCGGAGAAGAGTGACAAGATGATTAGGGGTACAGGCTCTCTGCCGATTTCTTTTTGATTTCTGCAAATGAACTGGAAGTTTCAAGGGTTATTATTTATTAATCACTGGAAAAAAAAATGACTAAAGTTTTTTTTTTTCCAGCAGTTTTCACGTTAATGATCTTTAATACATTTCAGTGATGACAACAGCTTCAGCCAAACCCCCCCTCCACCACCACCACCACCACCACCAAGCTGCAGGCAACTCTCTAATTAGCTTACATTTAAATAACAGACCTCCGATTTCAAAGCCGTGTATTGACGTTCACCCATAATTTGCAAACATGCAATTACAGGAGCTTCAGTAATACTGAAAGGGACAGACCTTGGTAACACAACGGGTTAGTGACAGGAAGGCGTGATTAGACGCAGTGCCTTTTAGGACGCGCGGAGGCTGGGGGACGGCTCCCTCCCAGCTGGCGCCCTGCGGGTTTGTGTGGGAGAGAAGTGGCAGCGTACCTCGTGCCGTCCTGGGCGCTGCAGTTGACGTCGGCGCCGTGCTCCAGGAGGTGCTGGACGATGCTGAACCAGCCCCGGGCGCAGGCCTCGTGCAGCGCGCAGTACCCGGCGTTGTCACGGTGATTCACGTCGCACACCTTGTTTTCCAGGCAGTACAGCACCACTTCCTGCAGAGAAGGGAAACAGGGGCCGAAAAGGACGTTAACAGCTGTGCGCCGGAACGGGAACCAAGTCTTCTGAGGCATTAGAAAAGGACGCAGGATGACCGCCTTTGTCAACCTGATCAGTGCGCGAGGGCCCGGCGCACTTTCAGACTTGCCCAGTGCCACTGCGCTCGGCTTTCACCGCTCCAAAACAATCTTGGCAATTAAGCGACTTGGGGACTGAATTCTCAGCTGGCTGTTAAAGGAGGACTGCAGCATTCCTTTATTACATTAAAATGCTCACACAACACGCATCAGCGCTGCCATCAGTCACAAGGCTATCACAAGAACAAGCATTCAACTCTTTGACATCCCTGTTAACGCCAAGACTGACCGTCTCCCGGTGGTTTAAGAGAGAAAATAGTTTGTATTCTAAAAACAGGGGAGAAAAAGAGGGAGGCCTAATGAACAATCATGTTAATGGCTTGTACTAAACCCACGCCCCTCCAAAATCAAGATGAGATTTATTGGGGGGTTTTGGGTAGAGGACAATGCAGACGGACAGAACGCCTTGATAATTGGTTTAATGTGCGGGATCAGAAGGTCATCCCCACTCTGCCTTTTAAGTTGACAGAAACAGAAATGAGCAATGTAGCTACATTTAATATCCCAGGATTCAGGCAGAAAACATCTCATTTGAACTTGCGCAATCTTTTTCGAATTTCTATTTCTATGCAAATTTGGCAGTCTCGGTCAGAGCTTTCGTAATTTTCTCCTCTTCTTCGCAAATTGGGAAACTGGGAACACCTCAATCCAATCTGTCAACAATGGTCAAATTAATATTTTGGACATCTGGAATATAAATCTACTCCCTGCAAAACACTAGGTTTCAATCAGCTCGGCCTCAGACGGCGTCCCTGCGACACGAACTGGAGAATCGATTTCTCTTTATCGCGGTGGTTTCTCCGCAGAAAAAAGGCCATAAAACATAAGCAAGATGGGTGGCTGAACTTAAAATAGTCATGTGCATTTGCCCAAAAGGATAGGATCGCTGTGTAGTTCTCCCAAGTACAGTAATTTTTGTGAAAACAAAATCTATACTTGGTCTGTTCTCAGAGGAGTGCCTCTGGGTTGATGCAAGCACACAGCAATGGAAGTTACGCATTTTATGACATTCTAGACATTGATAATCACATTTGATAACAGAGGTAATAGATCATTAGGGAGTTGGAGCGTTTCGGAGTTAAATCCTAGCGGAATTAAAATTAAAGCGCTGATTAAAAAGTGGTAAACACATCTAATGGAAGTGGACGCGTTTTTCAGAACCCAGATTACACAATTAATGGCTGATGCGTCTAACTGGGATAGCAAGTCTTGACAGGTAGAGGCTGTGGGGGGGGGGTTGGGGGGGGGGTGCTGAGGAAGGAGATGAAAATCATCAGAAGCAGAAGTCATTTAGTTGATTCATGGTTGATTTCTGTGCAGATGAGAAGCAGCATGTCCTGGGAGCTTTAAAAGCTTCGCTTGAAACAAAATAATGCAATTTTTTTTAGCCAAAAGAAATGCCACTTAATGGCCTGCGAAACATTCGGGAAAAGAGGTACTTGAGACGCGACAACAATTCTTTGATTTGAAGCTTGTAAACCTACACAAAAAAAAAAAGGAGCCTCCTTTCAACTCTGCAGCTGGTTAATTTGCCATGACTCGAGTTTGTCACCACTGACTCCTTCATTAGCAGAATAATCCACTGTTACACAAGAAGTCACTTTGCTTTTCACTGGGGTATAAAACCATTTCCCCTGGAAGATTTTATTCCCCTGAAGCTCTTACAACTCCCCCACAGTACCTCCAGAACTGTTAAGACTGTAAATCCTGTCCGTTATCAAACGCCTGGTAATCGCGCCGCGGACACGGACACTCATTCATCCAAACGTTGAGAGAAACGCCACTTGCCGGAAGAACTCAGGAGGGGCCCCCATTCGAACTCGAAAGGAGCGAACCCAAAACGCACGCCGGCCCTCTCCGCTCTGGGCGGCTGGACGAACTTCGAGGACGGGCAGCGGAACACTCTGCTCCTCCGGCACGTATTCAAATAAGTGAAGCCCACACCCATTCACATCTACACTGCTTCACCGCGTGCTGCTTCTGGATTCTGCCGGCATGGGGATTGGTATCTAGGATACAGCATGAAGCAGCAACATCACCGGGGCCTGCGCTAACCAGGCTAACGCGGATGGCAGCAGACACTAATGAGCCCTCTGTCCGAGGCATGAAAATACCCCCGGGTCACATGACTGCGAGGCTGGCCTGCCCAGTAGCCACTTACTGCTTCCTGGCAGGCAGAGGGGGAGGGGGAGGGGGAGGTTAGAGACGTCGGGAGAGATGGATCTGCCCAACACGCTCGTAGAGCATTTTTAATTAATCCTTTCTGTAAATAAGAAACGAAATCACGGCGGGGGCCTCGTTCCCACTGTTGTGTACTGGCAGAATCCTATCCTTCTCCGGAAAGCACCGGACAACCGCTCACGAGCGCTGTCCACTTGGAAGGGATTTCGACCGGTCCGAGTTTTCCGCTAGCCCCGGGAATAATGCTTTGGAACACGCCAGGATTTTAACCAGCCAGGGCTTAGCATGGCATTAAGCCGAAAATTAAAGCTGTTTAATAGCTTGAGGAGGGCACAGGCGCTTATTGATAGCTGTATATCTCTGGCCGTTGCTGGTGTCTCCACGGTGGAAGCAGACATCTCCGCCTCCCTTTTAATCTCCCTCTCTGGAGTACTTGTCTGTGCCGTACACAATCAATGAATCAAAATGAGTCCAGCAGTCAGATATTTAACCCTCTGAGGAAAGCCACTCCCCCCCCCAATGTTTCTAAAGTCAACCTCATAAGGAAAATGTATTTTATCGCACCATAGCCACCCCAGATAGGTTTTTCTTTTTTAAAGTCCACAGCACGGAGTCAAGATGCCAAATCTTTGCTGAAACGCCGAGAAAGATAAGTGTGCGCACAGCAGGTCGTACACAGTCCCGATGTTTCTTCCTGGTATTTGTGTCTGTCCGGGGTACACAAATTCGCATGTGAAAATCCCACAATGCAGACAAAAAGAGGACTCCAAATGAATAGCCGTTAGGGGTAATTCAGGCTTTTGTGCTGAGCTTTATGAGCTGCACTTAAGCTTGCCTGAGATGTACGGTATCTAATTAAGCTCAGGTGGGGCTAATTAAGCTCCCTGTAAAGGCTGAAGCAGCTCTTCTTTCCCGCGAGGGCGACGTTCACCCGTTGCGCTGCGCTGCCTTGTGTGCCCTTGCCCACCGAGAGCGGAGCCGGGGACCGCGGGCCTGGCGCCGTCACCGCGCTGAAGCCCGCCGGCAGGGTTGAGCCTCCAAAGAGAAGACCCGCTGCCCCCCTCCCAAGTGACGTGCCAGGTTCCAGGCCGCCCCGCGGCTGCGCCAATTAAAAACGCAATTTGTTGTTTTTTTAAATAATAATCATAAAAAAAAAAACAACACTCGAGGTCTACGCATCTTCCTCCCCGTGCCTTCGTTGAGATGCAAATCCGAGGCGATCTGGATTCCCCCCGACTGGGGTTGCGAGGGGGGCGCTGAGGAGAGGCAGCGGATCGGGACGCGGATCTGTTAATTGAAACAGAGCTCCTCGCGCTCGCCTTCAGTCAGCCAGCCAGCGAGTCGGAGCGGTGAGACCGAGAGGTTTGCGCTGCTTGGGAAGTGTATCATTACACTACAGCAGGCATTTCCACTGACAGCTCTCCGAGACAGGACTAGACTTGAGGGGATGGAGGAGGAGGAGGAGGAGGGGGGGGAGGAAGTTGAGGGGGGCGGCGGGCTGGGCGCCTCTCTCATCCGTCCCAGGAGAGGCGGGGGCGGCCCGGGGGCGCCGGGG